CTCTTATTAACCGTTCAACAAGGAAATCTTGATATATTAGAAGAATATTTAACATCAGTATTAAATCCTGAAAAATATCTTAATCAATTATATGATAAAGGATATAATCAAAAATGTACTTTATTAACAATTGCTTGTTTAAATCGACATGATGATATAATTCGTATGATACTTCAACGTTTTAAACCTAATCTTGAAATCGAAAATAATTTATTATTTGGAGATGGAAATAAAAATCAACAAATGTGTTTTAATGTTACAGTTTTATGGACAGCAGCAGCTACAAATAATTTTGATATAGTTAAATTATTAATTGAACATGGTGCTAATATTAATCATACAACAAAAACAAATTCAACACCATTACGTAGTGCTTGTTATAATGGAAATATAGATATGGCACGTTATTTAATTGAACATGGTGCTGATATAAATATAGCTAAAGAAAATAATGATACAAATCTTGCAGTAAGTGTATATCGTAAACATTTAAAAATGGCTAGTTATCTTGTGGATGAATTAAGTTGTGATGTAAATATATGTGATAATGATGGTCGACCACCACTTTATGATGCTGTAAATTGTGGATCATTAGAATTAGTAAAATTTTTACTTGAACATGGTGCTCGTAATTTTCCAGCAATTTGTGATCAAATGTCACCATTAATGTGGGCAGCTGAAAAACGAAGAAAAAGTCTTGTTGATGCTATTGCTTCTCATTGTTCATTAATTGAACAGATTGAAGCTGAAGAATTACTTGGTAGTGCTTTTGCTTGTGCTGATCTTGAAGATCGTGATTTTGATGAAGCATTTGAACATTTTACTCGTGCATTTCATTTAAGATCAATTCATAATCTTCCAAAAAAATTAAAATTAATTACATTAGATCTATTTGATAATCAACAAGAATGTCAAACAATTGAACAATTAAATGAAATTTATTCAAATCCTACTCGTATATGTATTGAAGCATTACTTATACGTGAACGTTTATTAGGTCCAAATAATGCTGAATATCGTTATTCACTTCGTTATCATGGTGCTATTCTAGCTGATAATAATCAACATTATCAAGCTATGGCATTTTGGATGTATGAACTTGGATTACGTGAGAAATATTCAATTACTATGGATCCAGAAAATTTACGTCATTTTGCTTCAATGTTTAGTGAAATAATATTTGTTTCATTATCTGTACCAATCGAAAATTTACTAACAGTAATAAGAGTTACAGTTGAAGAATTAAAACGTAATACAACTGAGTTTGATTTTAATCTACATACATTACTTTTTCTAATAACAATTACTAGTCAGGTAATTTTCTTTATTTTTCTTGACAATATTTTGCCAGGAAATCCAAATTTCGATTCGATCCGGGGTTAAATTGATCTCATTAATCTCTAAAGAAAAACCTTATTTCTTTAACGAAAGTGTGCAATAGAAAAAATGGCGTTCTCAATATTTTGACCATAACTTTATATTTTAATTAATCAATTGAAGTTCTTTTGATTTAATTTTATCCTAATTCATCCCATATACAATAATTCAAAGGATTGATATCAGAACTATTTGAAGGACAATGATCTTTATCGATAAAAAATTTGAAAAGTTATCCTTGCATCATTCTTGTAATAAATGATGTATATGTGGCTTTGCAATCGTCTCGGTGATTCTCAAAGAATTTATCTCCACATTTTTTAGTCACTTTCGCATCAGCTTCAGCACGGTTAACTGCCCATGTTCTATCATTTTGAACGTAATACATTCCATTTAAATCAAACATTTTTTTCACCCGAAAAAATTCAGAAATATCCAATTCGTTTGCTAATATTCGGAGTGGTACTCTCTTTTTTTTCTAACGTTCTAGTCGATTTTTCACCTTTTTGTATCATTTTTTTGGTGCGAACAATACGAGGATAACCAGCTATTCAAATGACGAAATACGATCATTTTCGTATTTGAAAAGTATAACTTTTTGAAAGTCTTTACTTTTCATGTTCTAAAAATTTATTCTATCTAGAGAGAAAAAAAATGAGTTATAGGATTTTGTAGAGAATTTCACAAGACATCTTTCAAAAAAAAATAGCTCGATAGAATAAACGCTTTAATAGTTATGGTCAAAACACTTAGAGGACTGATCACTCTGCTGTGCTCATTAGTTGCTAAATTCCATAGTGCCGAGCAATATGCATTGTCATTAAGACGTACTGCTTAGCAGCAGAAGCTGTGAAAGTGGAGTGTGTATGCACTAGGTAACCAGGACTGAAAGACCGCGGAGTGTCAATGGTCGTAAGCTGTCTGACGGAGAGGGATAGGTCATTCCACTTCCATCTTCTCTCTCTCTCTTTCCGCCGTTACCAAAAAAACTGATGCGAAAATAATTTCTGCCAAACTTGAGACCCTCATACGGTTTCTGCTCAGCAGAAGGGCATAGTACTAAGCAGTTTAAATTTAGATCATACCATAGTTATAATGTCCTGCTCAGTACTATGAAATGTAGCAACTATTAATGAGGTCAATTTAAGTCCGAATCGAACTTCCTGTAATTTTGTTTTGTTTAGTTGCTCACAAAAATGAATATGTCTATTATCGATCGTCGAGAAATATATCGATATCTTCGTTCTATTAATCAACATAAATTTGTGATACATGACACTGGATCATCTTTGTTACATATGAGTTTGAACAGTAATACAATAGCAGACGACTTTTTTATTGAACGTACATGCAAGTAGGTTATCAATAAAAAATAAAAAATTTTTTTTCGAATGTTTATCTATCTTATTCAAGGTATCCATGTTTACTCACAGCTCGTATACTTCTACAATGTGGTGCTGATGTAAATGAATCTGATGCTAAGCGAAATACACCTCTACATATATTTTTATTGAATTCAATTACATATGATGAGACTATAATCAAATTTCTTTGTGATGCTGGTGCACATCTAGATTATGTTAATATTTGGCGTAAAACAGCCATTGATGTAGCACCTAATATGGCTATAAAAAAATTATTAAAATCTAATATGATATTTAGTTTAAAATGTTTATGTGCACGATTCATACAACATAATAATGTAAGATTTCATGAAAATATTTCAACTGCACTTGTTCGATTTGTTGAAGAACATTAAATGTTGAATTTTTTTGTTACTATGATTAATAAATCTATCAAGATATATAGAACAAAAAAACAAATGTTTTAATCTTTTTCTTCATAGTTTTATTATAGATATGATGAATGCTGAAAATCGCAAGTTTCTATCATGTTCTTATCAAAAGTTATTCAAAACACACAATGAAACATGATTTTATCTATGTAATATTAAAATACAGTCATATTGCAATGGTTTAGATGAAAATTTCTTATTCAACTAGATTCATATCAATTTTTTCAGTAAATTTCATATCATTCTATTTTAAAGAACGACTACGAAATATCAACAGTAGTAATCTTTTTGTTAAAAACGTTCTAATGTTTGAAATTTGGATTTGATAACTTTGGGATGTCTAACTTAAATTTTTGTAGAAAAAGAATTAGTTAATCTTTTTTTTTTTGTATTATTATATGGAATATACAATTCTAACATTAAAGTATTTTTTATTATGATCAATTCATAGTATATGTTGATAAAGAATAATATATATAACGAAAAAAAGTATGAAGACATAATTTTGTAATTAATTGAAGTATTATTATGTTAGAACATGTCCAACAACCGGAAATGTAAGATTTTGTTTATATTAGTATATCGGTATTTTAGCTATTATAGATATGCATTCCTTCACTAAGAATTTGAGAATGACGTGTGAGAAAGACGATGAGTTTAATGAAGATAGAACTGGTGAAGGAATGATTGACTCTGAGTATATAGAGCACATCTTTCCATTGTTACTGTTTCAATCAGCATTACTTCTTTCGAACACAAAAATGAATATTGTTCAAGTATCAAGGCTATTAGTTTTTTTTCCTTGGTCAGATTTTTACCATAAAATATTCTATCTGACATTGAATAAGTTTAAGGTTAATTTAATAACTTTATTGCTCATAAAATTGAATACGACTTCAAGTATTCCAAAATACTAGTAAACTCATAGATAAAAAATATTCGATAAATACTCTAAAAATCACACATTGTGTTGTTCGAAGTAAAATATAATCAGTATAAGTTTTAAGTGGAAGCTTTGCAGCTTCTCTCTCATAGCAATGGGGAGAAAGGCCTAGAATCATGGAGTACGTTTCCATGGCAGCAGAACACAACAGGTGTCAGATTCCTTTTCTCGAGTTACTGTGCAATAGAAGAAGACGCTGAAGAGTATTAACAAGAGGACTTCGACTGTTCTAGAACAGTCCAAAGCTTTTTTCGAAATTCGAATTATTGAAATAGGTTTATGAATACTTTAAAGAGTACAGGTTGTGATTTTTGTACAGATGAAAAATTTCTATTCAAGATGATAAGGATGACGGATAGTGAAGCATTGATTTGTTATAATTGTGATCAAATTATAACTTTAGGACATAATTAGCAAAAGTATTTGTGAACTTATCGAGATATATAATAGTATGTTTGAAGGCCTACTATTGATATAATAGACATATATACAATACGTTTATTTGTCAGTTAACTCAATACTTTGAATAATAATTATGTTAAGGTAAGAAAAACAGAATGCAACAAAGAAAAATAACGAGTCAATAGCAATAACATAAACAAAACAACAAAACATCAATAAAAAAAAAACGAATAAAAATTTCTGTTGAAAATACTGAAAATAAATTATATTTTTATTTTTTACATGATACCGTAATATATTTTATTTACACAAAAAACAGGTAAAGAAATTTATTATATTCAAATATGAATATCTTGATTAATTTATATATTAACAATCTATACAAATATGTATTTTGAAATACAAGTAATATATTGATTGTTTATTCAAGTATAAAGAGAAAGAAGGATAACATGCATTATCCTTCTTGAATGAAATAAAATTTTAAACATAGACACGAACGTATGCTTCAATTTGTTTGCGACATGTCGGACATGTTCGAAGCGTACGACTACATTGCACACATGTTGTTAAGTGACCACACGGGATACATGCGAGTTGTTTCTCATCTTGATGACAGATGAGACAAGGATTAGTTATTAATGAAGCTTTTGTAGAACTTGTTTCTGATACTGTAGAATTTTCTTTATTTGTTGTCGATTCAATTTCCAATGTCTCAGAAATTGATTGATTTTGTAATACTTCGGTAGTGTTACTATTTGAGGATGTTGGTAAAGATGATAAATTAGATTGTTTTCTCTCATGAATTAAGTTCATTTGAACACTAGGAATAATAATATTGTCTTTGTTACCTTGGATATGATCGATTTGCTTTTGTAGAATAGTACAAGCTACTAATAGATCACTATCGTTAACAAAATCATCTTCTAAATAAATCGATAATAATATTTAATATATTAATAATTTCATGTATATTTACTTACTTTTTAATTGTAATTGATCTTCCCAACAACGTTTTATAACTGATAATTTAAAGTTTTGATTAAGTAAATTTTGTGAATTCGATAAATCAAGTCGAGCAGCAACAAAACGTGATAATATATTAGGATCATTTATTTGTAATTGACATTGATTTGAACCCAATAAATTATCATTTTCTCTTGTCTCATCATTTGATCGATTAGCTCTATTACGCTCTACAAAAAAAAAAAAAAATATCATTTTTTTTTCTCTCTCTCTCTGAAAAAATAAAGAACATTTGATAATTTACCTTGTTGAGCTTGTTTTGCTTCTTGAATTTTATGATAAAGTTCATCGCCACAAACTTGTTTTGCATATCCACAATACGGAAACCATCGAGCGTGTTCAATTAATGGATTATCATTGACATTCCAATTTTGTAATGAACCATTACAATAAAAACATGTTACAATATTTCTAGTACCTGTATAATAGAAACCAGCTCGTACTAGGTCATCTATCGATGGTGATGATTCATGAGACCATGTTGTAAATGATTCTAAACGTTTTGTAATATCACTATACGTAGAATTATAAGGTGTTCTACGAATAATTTGATCAAATTGAGGTTGTGCAGTATTAGTTGATCCAAAAGTTTGATCATTTAGATTATTTAGAATCGTAGTAGGAGATCGTTCTGATGGTATTAATATTGATAAAACATATGGACATTTCGGTGAAAGAGTTTTATGTACTTCAGATGGATTATCAATATCTTCTTTCCATTGTTGACAAATTAAATTACAATATACACATATAACACGATCACCGACATTGCATGAAAAAAAACCAGCATTGATCATTTGTTCAACAGATGGTTTTATTTGATGAGACCAATGAGAAAATGTTCGACGACGTATTTGTTTGAGTTTGTTTACTTCCATAAATTTATAATTATATTTACATTGATCAGAATTCAATTCTGTTTTTTGACGTTTTGTAGGATTTTCTTGATCATTCGATTCCATGAGAGATTTTAATATTGTAGAACAAACAAATGAACAGTTAGGACTACGTTCAGCATGTACAATCTTTGGCTCCATATCTTGAGTCCATCCAGACACTTCTAATTTACATATGTCACAACGAACGGTATCACCGTCACCAGTGTATCGGAATCCAGCCGTAAACATATCTTTAGATGAATATATACGCTGAATCTTCAATCGTGCAGATATTTTCTTCATTCGCTTATCTACATTTTGTTTCAAGTGAATAAGTCGCTCGTTCGAGTTCGTGTACGGTGAGAAGTAAGATGATTGATCCATTGTTGTTATCATGTTTGAATATTGAAATATATTTGTACGTTTATTGATTAGATTGTTTCTGTTTCGAATATCTTTTTATTCTACAATTATTCCTTATATATTGAGATATTTGTAGGTTTTTTCCCAAAAATGAAATAACATAACAGGTTGAGTCATACTATTGAGTGTAATTAGGATTTTTCTTCTGTACAATTACATGTGATTTCATATTTTCTCGATTCTTTCTTGTTGTTCTTTGTCATTTTTCTTTTTTCCTTTTCTTCTCGTATAGAATTTGGAAATTACGTGGCGTTCTACTATTCGATATCTCTTGTTATTCTGTGTATTTTTCCTTTTGCTATTCTTCATTTATGGAATCCTGTCATCTTGTCATCATTCGATAGAGTCAGTTAAGGTAAATGTATAAGAAAAATTGAACATATATTTTATAGCTTATATCTCTTTTTTATTTTTCAATATTTCAAATAACTTTCTTCACAATCTATGTATAAGACTTTCTCTTCCATCTATCTATGAAATTAGTTTTCAAAAATCTTGCCGTATAACGTAGTGGTGATGGATTTCTCGAGATCTCCATCAACATTATACATTTATCACAAATGGGATAAATGTATAATCGTGATGACGTAAGTGGAATAAATGTGCAGGATAGATAAAAATATTTTTCCAGGGAAGTGACGCTATGATTTTAAATAGAGTCAATAATAAATTTAATTGTCAAATGAAAGGATGTCAAAAATGGGTGTGGGTGTGGGCGTGGGTGTGGGTGTGGGAGTATGGGTATGGAGTGTCAGTGTTGTTTTCACATCCTCACACCCACACCCTCCTAGAACTCTTCCAGTTATATTATCTCTTGTAAAATTATTCATTATTCCTTTATTTTATCTTTATCCTTTATTATAAAGGATAGTAAAGATAAAAGGTCACCACTACGCAAAACATTCTATAGATTTACTAATTCTCTCTTGGTTGGAAGACATATCCAATTACTCATACAACGGAAAGAGGAACAGTCTATTAGTAATAACTAACCACAAAAAATCAACACAGAAAGGAACAGAAAATGAAAAGATATATGTATATATCTTATAAACAAGGAGAGAAATCTTCTTGACTGCATTTGAAGATGATAAACATTATATTGCTCAAGTCAATTACTTCGACACTTTGTTCCGTGTCTTTTTGATCAGACCTAGTTGAAAAACTCAAAGAAACGATAGGAACTTGAAAGCAGAAATATGATAATTGTGAAGTGGGTGTAGGTGTGATTGTGGGTGAGGTGTGAGTGTAACATATATTAGAGATCCACACCCACACCCTCAAGATAGTTCAGAAATACTCGGACCTGAATATAACTAAACCTTAGGATGCTTTCATGGCTGCCTGTATGCCTCAAGCAAGGTTTGGATAATTATCCAAATACCCAACACTGTCTGAACTAGTTAGAGAATTTCCAAATTGCATCAAAAAGTGAAGTAACAAAACATATTCAGTATTTTTTGTCTCTTTCACAGATCAATCCTGGAATTTCAATGAGTCTTCTCTATTAGGTACCAAGAATAAGGCTGTCTCATTTACTTACCACCAGTTTTTGTCTGTTGGACAAATATAGCGTCTGTCTTCGTTGTTAACGTTATCAAATGTTGTATGGTGTGCTTTTATTTGCGCAGTAAATGAGTCATAGTTCCAAGTTGGAAGAAACCAACTTGTTTCTCATTTTGTGTTAGTCATAAAAAAGGAAGAAGTGCAACGCAATTTACAAAGTTGGAACATTTTTACTTTAAACACAATTATCACAGTGGCCTCGCCCTCATGCTGCACCACGTGTGTGCGATTTACACCAATCACAATGTGCGTGTAGTTAAAGGAAAAATCTACCTTTCTCTTTTTCGCAAGACATCTATTCATTGGTATGCATAGAAAAGGTCGAAACAAAAAATGTTGAAACAAAAAACATCGAAAAAAAAATGTCGAAATAGAAAAGGTAGAAAAAAAAATTTCGAAAGAAAAAATACCGAATGTGTAAAAATGTCGCGAAAATTGTGAATGTGAGTCAAGAGAAAAGTCACATTTTTATTCATAATAGGATCCTACAGCATACGGCTTTGCCCTGCCTCATCCTCTTTCTATCCTAAAAGTTTTACGCTCTTATTCTGTGTTTTCCACGTCTGACCAGTCTAACCAAGACTGAAAAATACCAATCCTGGATCCATAGACTTTAATAGATTCTAATGGATCTTTGTGATCAAAATGAAATCAAGTAGTTTCATCTGACTCCATGAACTGTCACCTAGATCTCGAATCCACTTTTTCTCTCTCAAGGCTAACCCTACTTTACTCTATAACTTGTTACTTAAACGTTAGTCTACATGACTCATATTTGCACCCCACACACATATATTTTATGTTCAAATTTTCGACATTTACTTTTTTCAACGTAACTATCATTCGATGTTTCCATCATTCGACATTTTTTTTTTGATCTTTTTAGTTTCGATGTTTTTTTTCCGGCATTTTTATCGTTCGACGTTTTTTCTTTCGGCCTGTTCTATACCATTCTATTCATTCTTATTAGTAATCGTGTTGGCGAATAGCACCGATGTTCTTTGCCTCTTTATTGCCACAATAGCAGCAGCTATCATTCATTCATTTATGTCATTCTTCACTGAATCGATACTTATTCTTCGTATTTATTACTAAACACATGATTCATATAAATTTCTAAATCACTATTCTCTCTTTATTTATTCCTCTATGCAAAATAAATGAAACATCTAATTTTTTTCGAATAATTTTCTCTTATTTTTTTTTTCTCTTCATATTAAAATTTACGAAATGAATCAAATTTTGATTATTATTTTTCATTATTTCAAATTTTTTTGCTTAAGTCTTTTTTTTCTGCACTACTATTCAAACAGTTGAAAACAATGACTATAATTTGATTCATTTCGGAACGTTTTATGTGAACAGAAAAAGAAAAAGGAAAATTGAAAATGACAAGAAAATCTATAAATATTTGTTACAAGAATGCAGGAGTATACTCATGACTGAAACCTTGGAAGTACATACAGTGACGATCGATATATCTGTGATATCAACTTGAGACGAAATGACACTAGTATAGAAAGTTAATCGAAAAAATTAGATGTTCTATTTATTTTTCACAGGAGGATATATTACTCTAGTTTTTATTCTATCGACATTCCATTCATATTCATTTTTCGTTTGATGACATTCTTAACAATAAGTGAGTCAGAAAGTCTTATTTTGAAATAAAAAAACATTATTTGATGATAAGAATCTTTGAGGACTCATATTTTCTTCCGTACTTGTTCAGTTAACTTCCTATTGCGGTTCAACTTCGTATATATCATTTCAACGACAAAAATATCCAGAGACCAAAATATTAAAGATTGAAGAAATAAGATGCATTCATTACTAAGTGAATGTCAATAATCGAGCAGTAGCTTTCGAATGAAATTTTTTTTAATGTTTTATTTGGAGTGTGGATTTGTTCACATCTCGAATCAACGCCGATACTCACATCCACACCCAACCCTGAACATTGTATCTTACTAATATTTCTAAAATCAAGCTATCTGAGTTGTAGTTCCTCTTCACCAGTATTAATACGTTATATAGAGAAATGGGAAAAACAAATCGTATGTCAAATGCATGAGACCGTTTTTTGTATAAACGGAATGTATAGAGTCAAAAATGTCTGAAATTTGGCGTTTTAATATGTTTATATGGAAAACGCGAAGAAATGTTTTTCAAAAAAGAATGTCATAACGAAGTTGAAGTGTAAGACAAAGGCTACTGTTAAAATGCTAAATTTCAGACCTGTGTACAATCAGTTAAAAGAAAGAAAAATACAAATTGTTGCAACGCTTTAATTTCACATTTCTTACTTCATGGGTACAAGACCTTTAAACGTTTGTTCATAAAAATCCTTTTTCTAGATTAAAAATCACTTCATACAAAAACTGATGCTTCAGAAAAGGTCCTAAAATGCTTTATTTCATTAATATTCATTCATTTGGATTTGAAATCACTTTCTTCGAAAAAAAACCTTTCGAAACCTTTTCTTATTATATAAGCTGTTTCGGCTTTGAAAAAAGTGTTTAAACTTAGAGTTCTGTTAAAAAATATTTGTTGTCCTTTTAAACAGATTCTTTTTTTTTCTAAAATTTAAGAAGGAAACCTTTAAAAATCTAGAAAATCTTTGCTGGCTATTAGTAGTATATCTAACGAGGGAACCACCCGAGGTGTCAAAAAGCTTTTCGGTCGCGGATATAATGGTTAGAAAAGGCATAGCAAGGAGTGATATACCATAAATTGGTTCGGGCCCTAGTTGAGATTTGGCTCAGATACCGAATTTTTACCAGAAATTTCCTTATGGAACTCCATTTCCTCCATAAAATCAAAGTTTCGAGTTTTAACGTGAAATTTTGCCCATATCAAAGTCTCAACTAGAGTGGCTCACCTACAAAGTTTCAGAATTTTTAGACTAAGTATTCCCAATATATCATGTTTTCTAAATTTCTATGTATACAGCAATATCCGTAACAAATGTATTTATAGTAACAGACTTATATCTCGGGAATACTTAGTTTAAAAATTCTGAAACTTTGCAGGTGAGCCACTCTAGTTGAGACCTTGATATGAGCAAAACTTCACGTCAAAACTCGAAACCTTGATTTTATGGGGAAAATGGAGTTCCATAAGGAAACTGTAGTAAGAAGTCGATATCTGAGCCAAATCCTAACTTGGGCCCGAACCAATTTAGGGTATATCACTCCTTGCTATACCCTTTCTAACCATTATATCCGCGACCGAAAAGCTTTTTGACATCTCGGGTGGTTCCCTCGTAAGACTAAAACTATTCGTATTCTGTCTAGTTGAAGAACAAGATGTTAAAGCGTATTCTTTTGTAAGAAAAATATTGTATGAATAGTAAATTTTAAGATGTGGTAAGGCTTAATCAAAACTACACTTTCATCTGGTAAGTAATGATATAAATATTATTATATTTCATATTCATAGGGTTTTACAACATCCAATATAATATCAATCACATGATAGTTGCGATACTGCATCGACAAATGCTACGTATTGTCTATATTGACAATACGCAAAGGCAACTATAAGTTTCAGGGTCATATTTGACTCCGAATCGGGATGTATGCAGATTTGTAGGAAGAAGACTTTCTCTATCTAATGGTGTATGTACTATCAAGTTCTGTTGCATACCAAACAGAACTTGCTGATACATATGTTATTAGACAGAGGAAATCTTCCCTTACAAATCTGCATACATTCCCTTCCGGAATCAAATCCGTGTAGTCGTATTTCAATAAGTATTGTTATAGAGCTTATCATCTAAATTGATTAATGTAAAAAGACTACTGCTATCTGAAAACATTAGAAAATAGAGAACATTCGATTGAAGTATAGTGTACCATTACGACGTGCAAATAATCCTTACTAAATCATTTTTTTTTTATTTAATGAAAATTCAAATGAATATTTAGGAGAAAATGCTAATTATTGCAGCAATTTGAATGGATTTTTGTGAAACCATATCATGAAATTAATCTGATTAACATCGAGGACAATGTGGATATGAACCATATCCAAAATAATACGTATAATTGAAACCAGCATAATTGAATTGAATTTTATCATAAATACCAGGTTGTTGATTTCCATCAACTGGTAGTGTCAAAGTCCATTGAGAATCAGCTTGAAAAGCAATTTTTTCTCTTTGATTATTTTTCATTGTATATTCACCAATAATTATTTTCAATTTACTGGATGGTATAGATCTTAATTGAAAAGTTAAATGATTTAATGACCAACGACCATCTAAAATACATGAAACATTGGTATATTTTTGCGATGGATCCATATTTGATGGACTACAATCCCATATATAAACATCATAATTTATTTGTAAATTGAAATTCCATGGTGTTGTTTGTTGATTATTTAAAGTCACAGACTGACCAACACAACAATACCATTCACTACGCATATGACCCATACAGCAACCTTGACCACGTAAACAATCAGGACATTGACCACGAACACTGGTAATAGAAATCAATACAATCAAACTTAATACAATGACCAACGAGTTTGTCATGTTGATATGTGAATTTTATCTTTCTGACTTATATTTTTCTATATTCGAACAGGTGAAAATTAGAAAGAAAAATCTCATGACTATACATGCAGTAATATAAATGGTTACTGAGTTTTTGGAAATAAAAACAAATGTCATTGTTCTCATACTGATAGTGATAATATATGTAAAATTTTGATTTTTATGATTGAATATAAATAATAAATAATCAAAGATCTACATGATCTGAAATTGATAACAACGATAGAAATTTAAGTAAATATTAAGAGTAGTTATTTCATTTTACATTTTTTATAACTTTTCTTATTTTTGTTTTTGTATATACACATTAGGAACTAGATATCGTGGAATGAAAAACTTTTTGTTAATGTTTCTTATCAAAACAAACCGAAAAAGAAAAAATGACAAAAATAACTTGACTCGCCCAGCCCTTTTATTAACTCACACCGCATGAGCAGAGTGTTGAATGAAGAGACTATCCACACCCACATCAGTAAAAATAAGTTTTGTCCTTACACTTTTGAATTGATTCGGAAGACTTTCTTTATTCAAAATAAACCTACAGTTTGTTTGTTTTGCCACTATATAATCTGAAATAGTATGTATTAACTGAATACAAAGTAAGAATTCAACTTTATCTCTGATGGAAAAAATTTCATACTGTTGCGTATTTTTTTTTGTTTCGAAAAAATCAATCTCGTTTTTATTCTAACGTCCACGTACTTTCAGCATTCTTATTGAAAAGTTCTTTTTCAATCGTTTGCTAAATAGATGATTTTATTTACATATTTAAAAATATTGACTTTCATTGCAATTTATTGATAATGTATAAAAACTGTAACATCTCATTTGCAAGAATAGGTCACGATTCGAAATTGATGAAAATTTTCGATTATTCTTCTAAATTTTTTCTCGAATATTTTGTTTTTCGTATTTATTGAAAACTAAAATACCAGAATAATTTAATCATCTTTTAAAAGCTCTGAAGCTCATTTGCTTTAATATTAAATAAGTGTTCTAATTAGAAAGATTCTTTTTTAATAATAAAATTTGATTGTATTTACAATTATAAATGCAGCTGATTAAGGTCCCTACAGATTACAGACAATATTTTTATGATTTTGTTCTTTTGTTTAATCAATTCAATTGGAGTTTCTTGCTGCTTATTAAATGATAGAATCAAGCATCGAACGACCAGAGTAGTTAGTGTTGTTCGCTGTTGATTTATTATCTTATTTCAATCGTATGACTAAAGCTAGGTATTGCAAAGTACATCTATCAATTACGGCAATTCTTCAGCGAGTGAAAATCTATAATAAATAACAATTCAGACTCTCTATAAATTGCAATAATCCTACATATACCAAATGTTTATTTCTCTATAAAAATTGACTCTAACTACGGTTTGCAACAATGTATTCTAATAGATTTTTTCTGCTGAAATATATCGACTTTCTTTATTTCTTATAAAATAAATTATTCAGTAATTAATAAGTTTAATTTCATTTAGTCGTCGGCGTTAAAATATTGAGAAATTTTTTATGAATTCTACACAAAGACATAATTTCTTTCTCGAAAGACGAAACGATAAAATTGATTTTCTTTGTTTATTTCCAAAGGTGTTCTTCAATCGAAACGATTTGTTGCAACATAAATGAACAAAAAAGATATGAAAAAAAATCTCGTTCTATTCTCAATTTAAATTAACTCGAAGCATCCCAATACGTTCGTTTCCTGTTTGTTCATTTTTCTATCTTTATATTTCTGAGGGTCTCTCTTCTAAAAAAACAAAAAAACATTTTCTGTTGGTTTTTCCTCTCTAAGAGTAGCCTGCTGTTTAATAAGTCGATGATCGTTATTATCAAAAGTTTTGCCTGCCGCGAAAACGTCGTGCCAAATAGAAAAATCAGACTTCAGGCTATTTTGTCATACATTTATCCGACGGGAAAGCCTTATATTTTTAATAGATCATACATTGATGATATTTGTTTTATAATATGAAGCTAAATATCTTAACTAATCGAGTATTTCTTCAAAGAAATTGTTTGACAGTGTAAGAAACTAATTGAATATTTCTCTCGAGTCTTTTGTTTTAAATATTGCCTAAAGTATTTAAACAGTTTGTTCATAAAAGATATGTAGAACTATATTGTCGAACAATTTTCTAATTGGAAAAAAAAAGAAAACCTAATTTCTATTGTTTTGTATGTGGCATTACTAATGAGACAATTAATTATAAGAGAAGAATATTATCGAAAATTTCATTAAATAATCTTCTGATATTTTTAAAATTCTTCTCAATCTATTTATCAAATAGTACATCAAAGTTTCAATTTTCTTCACTGTTTATTCTAATATATATATTCTCCAGACACAAAAACAAAAACAAGACAAATAACAGATGGAATAGTTTTATGTTTATGTAAATGTAAAAAAAAAAAGGAAAATAAGTTAATCAACAATTGCTTAATTGAATTGATTAATATCATCTAAAATCAATTCCAATTCAGAATTTTCAGCAATTGTTTCAACATCATTAATATGTGGTTGAACACTTTGAAGATAAGACATCGTTTGAACAACAGCTAAAAGACATAGAATTAAATTCATAAATCTTTGAATAGCTTGATGATAACCATATTTATATAGAAGATATTTCCATGTTATTTCTGCATATCTATTTTGAATCTGTAAAATAATATTAGCATTTGCATGATCTAATGATGTTGTTGAAGAAAATATATAAGTATTTTTAGAGAAAACTAATAATAAAAGTCCCATTTTAACGAGTACAACATCAGGATCTAAAAATTTTGTTGAATAAAGAGTAAGTGATATACCATATGTTCCATATTTTTTAGCATTCATGTCTATAAAAGATTGACAAGTATTTAATTGAGATTGATACATAATAAATGCTCCACCTAAACAAAGTAGACAATCGGCACCAGTACGAAGTACAATCGAACGATCATTATGTGGTAAAGCACAAATATCACCGTTTAAACGAAGACATATATCTGTTGTTTCGAAAAGTAATCGAAAGAATTCTTTAGTCAATATTTCATCCAATGGTTTTATTGACTGAGAATATTTATCTTCTTTAACTAAACGTTGACAAATAGATTTCATCCGATCTTCATCAAAACTATGAATCACATTTGAGAGAAGAGTCCATTGATTATTAGTCAATTTTGATATATCCGATTGCAAAAGATTTAATGTTGGCAACTAAAAAACAAAAAAACTAATAAGGACTATTACCATTCAATATATTGTCTTTTCCAGTGAACTATCTCATAAATGAATATAAAATTGGCGGACAAGATCAAAAATTTTCAAAATTGTTTATTAACTAAACCAAACAAACAAAACTATAGAATTTTTAAATTCCGTATGAGCATGCAATGTCATAATTGAAAGTGAGATTGAGACTGAAAAATTAGTCATGTACATTTCCAGTTCTAATATATTGAAAATGAATTTAATTATTTGTCATTTCTCTTCTTGTATATTTACTTTCTAAGAATTTTCATACGTATTGACATAATCTTTATTTGAACGAAACAATTTTCATGGAAAATATCTTACCATCTGTGTTTTATCTTTTTTGATTGTTTTGACAAGGTCTGTTGATGTTGATTGAGAATTTTTATTTTTTGATCGATTTATTGATTTTGAACAACCCAATCGAAAAAATTCCATACTCATTCCACTTTGAAAACATTTATCTAATCGACATTTGGTACATATATGACGATTATATATATTAATTTCACATTGACTACCAAAATTACATTCAAATGTTGACTAATAGAATGAATTAGTATGAGAATTCTATTCAAATAAATAATCAATCTCACCCGTTCAATGTGAGCATTTCGTCTGAAAAACATTTTGCATGATTCACATGATATAACACCGAAATGTGCATAACGAGCAGGTGCTTCACAGATTTTACATTTGAATGGACGTCGTTTTGTATTTTCATCAATGGATTTAGAAGACGATTTTAGCATTACATTAGATGAGACGGTGTTGATGAATTTCTCTGCCATCTATAAGTTTAATAATTGTTTTTTTTTTTATTCTAAAAAAATAGTTCTGATCAAAGTGAGAATTAAGAAACACTTTCCTGTAGGAAAAAAAACCGAAATATTTTTTTTTTGGTATAACAAGGATCATTGAGTTCATTATCAGCTAGTTTTATTTCAATCCAGAGCAAACGCGTTTGTCTAACAATAAGACTAACATGTGTGTGTATGCGTCGAGAAAAAACACTCTGATGATTTGATTCTCCGCAGAAATGAAAAAAAGATATTTTTCTTCGTTCTTCGTATTTCTTTTTTTGCTTCTGTTCTTCTGATAGATCTAAGATACACATGTTAGAACTGAATGGGTCAAAGCGAATTCAATGATTCATGATTCGATGGATGTCTCTTGTGATCGAATTGATTTTCGTTAAATTTAATTATATTATTTTATCTCTTTCTCTTTTTCTTATCATTGAATAAACTTCAAAGAATTTTTTATTTTTGAACATTTAAGACTAAAGAGAAAAAATCAGTATCGCTAATACGACTTCAACACTGTGTCATATATCCTTTTGGAAAAAAAATAGTGTCACTCGTTATTTTTAATATATCATCACTATAAATTAATATTTTGAGAAAAGAGTAATTATATATTCGGATAACCACAAGGGGGAACAAACTGATTTCATGATTTCATGATTTCAGATGATTTCATATGATTTCAGGTGATTTCAAGTGATTTCAGGTGATTTCAAACTGATTTCAGGTGATTTCAAGTGATTTCAGGTGATTTCAAACTGATTTCAGGTGATTTCAAGCTGATTTCAGGTGATTTCAAACTGATTTCAGGTGATTTCAGATGATTTCAAACTGATTTCAGGTGATTTCAAACTGATTTCAGCGATCGAAATCAGTTTGTTCCCCCTTGGATAACCAGTAGAATTTTCTACAACTCTATATATGTACACTTTGAATTGTACTTGTTCGCTAAAAATAAATTCAAGCATAGTAAAGGCATATTCATCATCAGATTTCTTGGAAATGTATTTTTTAACCCATTCTTCATTCATATTTTCAAGTTTATTTTGAATAGAGAAACAAGTTATTACAAAAGTAAATATATATTCTGAAAGCGCGTGAAATTCTCTATCACTCTGTATTTTTGCCAGTCGTAACTTGGAATTATTTGATAACAAATACTTCGAATATTGTTAATGCACGTACGCATTACGTTCCTAGGTTAGGTATTATTAGAAATTTTGGCTACATCTTTGTGCAAAGAAGTTGATCATAGATCAATCAATCTGACGCTATATGAGTTCATGAATAGTAATGGAAAGTGAGAGTGTCACAATGAGGATACATCAACAATACTCGAAGTATTTGTTATCAAATAATTCCAAGTCACAACTGACAAAAGTACAGAGTAATAGAGAATTTCACGCACTTTCAAAATACATAAAGCCATCGACACATTAGAAGACCCCCCCCCCCTTAAAAAATCGACATTTTGAAATAGTTTCTGGAGTTTATTGACTTGTTTAGTATTGAAGCCCAGAATGATATCGAAATTCAGTACGAACTGTATTTTGCTTCCTCCCTCATAACGAAGTATCAGACTCGAATGAGTAAAATCTAGAGAAGCAGTTAATAGGAAGCAACTATCTATTGAAGATTGCGTTTCTTTGTAAAAACGTATCATGGAGTCATTTTAGTACTCCTTTGCAGCTTACTTTGAAAACATTCTTCAAGCTCTATACACGAAAAAACACGCTTACATAGTCATAGGATCTAATGAACGTAGTGCCCGTTCGTGCATGTAACACATGAAGGGATCTTTGTAGACTAATAACAGATTAGGTAAAATGCCACTTTGTATTAATTAAAAGGTCTTTTTATCTTTGACTTTCTTCTAGAAAATCAGAAACGTTTTCACAACAAAACAGTGTTTCATAATTGAAGAAAACATAACTTCATGTACAGTCTACGCAAAAAATTCTGGGACACTCAAGAATGACTCTGCAAAATTTTATCTTTCATTTGAAACAAACTTTATATATATTTTAAGTATAGTTACTGGTTAAAGTTTCATATAATATTAGAACTAGAAGTTTTGCATCTGTAGAGCAAAGTACGAAAGTTTAACCAGTAACTATACTTAAAATATATATAAAGTTTATTTCAAATGAAAGATGAAATTTCGGAGAGCCATTCTTGAGTGTTCTAGAGTTTTTTGCGTAGACTGTATATACGTCGAGATTTGATATGTGAGTACTTCTTTTGAGTTTGAGAACGCATTTCTTTTTTCAATAAGATCCGATGACATTTTTTGAAACAGACGCAAAAGAAAACACAGTGTCTGTATTCAACTGCTGGTTTTTTACAGATGGTGTCTTCACAAGACAATCGTATTCATTGAAGTTAGCTTGAGATTAATAACTCTGCTAGTAGCAGAATTCACTGTGAATAGATTCCATCTATACTAATCAAATCTCCACATAAGCAATCGAATAAAATGAGTTTGATAAAAAAAAATTAATTTTCTTTTTTACATTTATTTAGTTGTTGAGAAGGTAAAATGTTGTCAATGATAGGTCTTAGCCTAGAGAAAAAAGAACGATATGGGATATCGTACCAAGATGCTAGGCTACGTTGACTGTATTGTTCTAAGAACACTTCTTACCAACGATGGTCTCCCCTTTTTGACAGGATGATATCTGTTTCTTTCTTTTTCTACACATGTGAAATAAGTGAAGCAAACTCATTTACTAACGATATATTGGACAAAAATCAAGTGAAACTAAGATTTGTTGACGGAACTACCAAAAAAGATGACTTTTTTTTAGGGACATAATAGAAGACCCCCTTTTAACTTATGAATGATAAGACAGAATAGAAGACCCGGGTCTTCTAATGTGTCGATGGCTTTAGTCTCATTCAGATATCAGTTGAGGATCTTTCTTTGTTCGCATGTTAAGTAATCACATACTCTCGGTTTTAAGTAGATCATTGCTCATGACATCCTCCTATAGGATCGAAATATTAGTTATGCAATTTAATAAAGAGAAAAAAAAAAGTTTTTCAAATATTTTTCGCTTGAATAAATCGGCAATTTGACTCTTCGGGGACGTTCATATTTTAATAACATATTTATCAAAGTTATTTTCGTGCTTTCGAACATCATAGAATAACTTTGAATTATATAGCAACAAAAATAAAGCATTTTGTTTTTCCAAATTGTAAAAGAAAATTTTCTCTTAATAGTTTTTCACCAAATTAGAACAAAAAAAGAAAAAGAATAATATAAACTCGTAACCTTTAGTGACTGTTCATTTTTTTGACTTATCACTGGAACTAATTTTGATGATGCTGGTTTTTTTTTCTTCAACGATGGTCGAAAACATTGAATCATTTCAACACGCATTCCAACTTGAAAACATTTTTCTAATCGGCATGCAGAACATACATGACAAATATTAATATTCACTTCACATTGACCATCAAAGAGACATTTCAGTGTTTCCTGAACAAGTTAATTTAAAGAACAAAAAAAAAAATCGTTTTCATTTTAACTGACCTTTTGATTTTCAGCATTCCGTTTGAAAAATATTTTATATGATTCACATGCTGTAACACCATAATGCGAAAAAATGGCAGGAACTCCACAAATTTTGCATTCAGACGAAATTATATTTGACTTTGACATGACTAAATGGAGACCAAAGATGTGTATCTCCAACAGGTTAATACAACATTAAGGAGAATAAAAGACTAGAAAATAAACGAATGTGATTTTTCTCTGTTTACAACAAATAACGAAGAATGTAAGTCGAACTATAAATATCACTTTGATGCACTCTACTTTAAAATGCACACGTGTAAGAAAACGAGAACAGAAAGAAAAAAAAAACATAGATTTGTGTGTAATAACTTTAATTTCTGTATAAAAGCGAAGAGTTTCGTCGTTTTGACTTTTTCCTACTTGTATTTGGATGTTGAAAGATTATAATTAAATTTTTATATAAATTGATTGTGAGAAAGAACTGAACGTTTCACATTTTGACAAGGACAGAATAACCTATGAAGTAGATACAGGATAGTAAAAGGCCTTAAACACACTAGAGAAATAAAACAGTGTTATTTCTATTTTAAATCCATACCCATCCTCACTATAACAATTACTTCACTAATCAGAACTGAGTATAGCCTTTCTACTGTAGTGAAAATTTACGAATAAAATATTTTTTCGATTCATGAAATACTTGTATTACTGTTGTTTATTGATCCAGATATGATTTAGAAATTAATGATCTGTAGAGAATTTAATTAATTTAGTATCCTATTTCACAATAACAAGCATATTCGAGCGATATTATTTGCATTCATTTGTCTACAGGGTACGTAAAAGTGTTTTTTCCAGGGGGTAACACTATAATTTCAAATAGCATATATAACTAATTTTATACTAAATTAAAGCGCGTTGAAAATGGAATTTTTTAATACTAAATTGTAAGAGTTATCAAAACTTTTTGATGTCGAACTTAAGAAATTTTATGCTTTTTTAGGATAAAAACTAAGATATCAGTGATTCAAAAATAGATTTCAGTATTTTCTTTTGATATGTTTACATGGTTTGATAGAGCTCGTTGAGCTCTACAAAATTGTATATATTAAAAAAATTTTAAGTCAGTTTTCTAAGATGAAAAATTTGAAAAACCATTTAGAAAACGCTAAAAAATGTTAAAAAACTCATCGATCACGACAATATTGGACACACATGGCAATCGACGCTCTTTTTTTGTTTTTACTTTTGTTAAGGTCACTTGAAAGTGATGAATTAATAAAAACGGTTTCATATAATAAAAGTAGTGTCTACTAAAGAATGGATCTGTCTCATTTGATGATGATCAATATTGGTAGTGTTTAGCTACCGCTTCTTATATCGAGTATTCATGCCTATTCCCTAGCTAGAAATTTACTATGTCTGCAAAATCCGCACACGCGACCGATGGAAATTGGATTCGATCAATTCAATATGGCTGTTTTTCATCCTCAGGTCAATAGAACTTGATCGAATGTTGACAAGAAGTGGCTATCTGGGTGAGTAGGTGCGGGTAAAGAGACGACGCCTACACACTCATCCTCAAGACAATTTGTCATAGATTAATGAGTTGATCAAGTATTTGTTTTCTGCAAAGAAAAAGCAGACAGAACATAAATAAATAAGTAGATGTTTATTTAGTTAGATTGTTGATATACCTGATCCACAATAAGATTATATTTAAACAAGTATTGAAATAATTGAGGATGAGAATAAAGGTAAATAAAAATCCCTTTTCGTTCTCACCCTCACACTCTGACTCTGGAAAAAAAAGCTGATTTCAACATTTGTTCATGTTTTTTTCATTCTAAATGATTCGCTGTTAATTTTCATTTTTATTTTCTGATGGATATTTCTAAGCTTATAACTTTCCTACTATGAGAGTCAGCGGCGCTCAATTCAGAGTAATTTTATAGAGCGTATTTTGTTGCATCTTTTACTCATAGAGCCAAATTCACCACTACTTATTCTACTATCTAAAAATTTATTATTCAAATCGAGTCAGAAGTTCTGAAGGGCATCCTTCGTGCATAATACATTTAGCCATGAACGTGCATACAATAAAATAAAGTGCTTTCTAAAAAGTAAACATGAATACTATTAGATGAAAAGCTAAACTAAACAAAATGAAATTAGATGAAATAATCAAGCGTTCATAGCAATTCGCGAGTTTCCGGCCTGCATATGCAGTACATTCGATTTCAACTTTGGCATTTTCTGGTAACGATTGAACAGCGAAAGTTGTCCGAGCTGGATAGTCTTTGTTTGAAGGGAAGAATGATGTATAAATCTGATTCATTAATTGATAGTCATTTATATTAGTTAACAGAACAAGACATCGCACGATTTGAGTCATATCTGATCCAGCTGCATCTAGTATGGCTTGTATATTGTGGAATGCTTGTCTAGTTTGACTTTGAACATCATCTGATACTAGTTGGCGTGTTGCAGGATCAATTCCAGTTTGACCACTCAAATAGAGAATGTGGTTGATTTGGATGGCTGCATTATATGATGCAATAGAGTTTGAAATGCCCTAGACATGGTTGAAAAATGATGCACCAATGTGACAATAGATTGAAATTTTTACTTACTGGTATCACTATAACCTTCTTCTTAATATCATAGCTTTCTAATTGTTCGTTAGGTGTGCCTTCTGCTGATTTCTCTGATGCAACAATAGTGTTCCTTTGATTGAAGAGATCAAGAAAAATAATGCATAGAATGGTAATTGTTTTCATTCTAGTAGAAGAATGACATATAAGTAAAGTAATTTAGATTTCAATAAAATATGAGAAAAAAAAGGAGGTCAATCAGTGCACGAGACTGAGTACTTAGTATAGAGTTTTAATAAAAAGTACAGATATTTAAGTATAAAGTACAAGTGCTAAGTGGTTTTGTTTTTAAGGACTAATACTTTTAATTATTTAATCTCTGATACAATTGGAGTATCTCTATAAAGAGAAAATGAACACTTTATTGGAATTGTGTAATGGTAATAATAATAATAATTTATCGTGAAGAAACGTTAGTCTGCTTCTCTAAAGAGGAGTATCAAAGTCTAGAACAAGACATTTGAATCCCCATAGATGATAACCTACGTGGCGAAGAGGTTGTGTCATAGTTGAATGATGTAGGATTTCGAGTAAAAATTTTACTTCATATGATTTACAGAAATAACAAATTCAGTTTGAATAAGCCGATATACATGATAATGTACATTTACTCATCACGAATGAATCTGAAAACATAGCCTCATCATCTTTCTCTGTCATTTTCTTATACTAGAAGAAAAAGTGACTTCATCGAAATGTTCAGAAGTAAAATTATCCTCTGTACGTCTTCACCAAGCCGTGCCAGTATTTGCAATGTATCTTCGAAAAGGGCTCTAGATTGTATTGCTGGGGAAAATAGTACAAAAATAACCAGTGGCGTAGCCAGAAATTTTTCAGTAGTGGTCAACTTTCTAGAAAAACTATTCTGAGAGTCGAGCAACTATGGACAATTGTCATGATCTCAAAAAACCTGTGAGCAATAACTTTTGAGGTCGTGAGCAGTTACTTAATACTTCTATCCCTGACTACGACACTGAAAATAAAAGAACGCGTTTGAAATCAATGTAGTTACGTTACTGAATAACATCGATCATAGCATCCCATTCAAAATAAAGCTGTATGTTTTGTATAGATGAATCAAAGTAAATTTTGCACTGAAAGAGCAGTTGAATTTCAACTGATTCTATCCTAGATTTAACAAGGGGACGCGTGTGAGGACGGACAACATAAAGCATTCTCTGTTTATTTTCTCGTATTTGATGTTTTTCAGCGCAATCGACTATTTCGATTGATTTTCTTCGACAAAGCGAATGACAATATGATCTGTCAATGATAGCAAACAAAAGTTTTATTTTATATCTTGATTTCAGTATTCCTTTTATTTTCTCTTGTTTTCTAAGCCGTTTCAGAACGAGAGAACACATGTAATCTATTTCACTGCTGGAGTTATGTTACCTGTTTTGATAGCAAAATATCGAACAGCTTGGTTTCAGTCTTTTGTTAATCTTTCTCCAAACGTCGTATACTACATCGAATCGATAGGACAAATGATCTCTTATGGAATCAATATTTCCAACTCAGTTATTTTTATTTCTTCTTTTCTTTCAAATATCGATGGAGTGAGACGTGATTGTATTATCCTTTTATAGTCGTAAAACATACATCTAACCTTATCACTTCTTTTCATATTCAATCAATCAATCTCGTATGTAGTAAAACATGCAAATGAAGAATGGAAAGGTAAGAATGGCGTTACGGTATTAAACGAGCAATCATTTCTATGAAAGAAAGACATAAATGCCGTATAATAATAAACAATAATTTTATTTCAAATCGAAAAAATATTTTACACAATTTTATATTTGTAGAATTTTCGATCATTTTCAGTTGTTGACGCTAGTAAAAAATTCAGTCATCTTCAGTACGATGGTGGGATTTGAAACAAATATAAGCATATTGCATCAATAACTATCACTTTCTTCAAATTGAAACTAATAAAAACTAATCCACAACCATATCATTATAAACGAAGCATCAGGTACTAGGACAATTAGTCGCAGGATAATTCGTCGTGGACAGTTCATCAAGTAATGAAAACAACAAATTATGTATGCAGCTAAATTTTTCTTTTTCATTATGATTTATGCGACAAATTGTTCTGCAACTAATTATCCGGTCACCATGCACGTATGCTATTCAATAGACCGAAAATTGTTTCTCATTTCTTCATCGGTTTGTCTGGGTCTTCTGTAGAATACTGACTGTGAAAGTACCTATCACAGTCGATGGTTTTTTGGACGTATGTCGTCTAGTCGTCGAGATGTTGCAACGAACAACGAACAAAATCGACATAAAAAACACTGTATATCTAGTGACTCTTGTAGCAAAGGTATGACGGGAGTAATGAGCCCAGTCGAATGTTTAAACTCCAATTTGAAAAAAAATTGTCTTCAAAAGTATTTGGTAATTCTTTGAAAATATCTCTTCTATGAATCATTTTCTAGTTGACATATTTATCCTTAAAAAATCGTGCACTGCATCGAACAAAACACGACATTTGTAGTGAGATATTTACTATCACAAATCAAAAATGATCTCGAGTATTCAGTATTGATCTTCAACGATAAAGACGAAATCACATTTTGAATATCATAATAAAAGAGAAATCTATATACGAATGTGTGTGTGTGCTATAATCACGCCCACACATCCTTGTATTTGTCAGTTGATTCTTCATGTTATCTAAGATAAGAGATATCAAATAATAACTATCACACATTAAAACCAAGTCGTAACATTTTCAACATAAATCTATAACAAACGGTTCAAACTTTGTATTGTATAATTCAGTCAGACAAATTTTAATATATATCATGAGAACAAACATAAACAGAAATATACAAAAAATTACTTAAAACCACACTGATCATGTTCAACTGTCTAAGAGTGTTTACTTTTACATCATATGACATTGATTTAGCGATTTCCACCATTTTCTGTACTGAACGTTGATCTTGTTCATCGATTTGACGCTTGTTGACGATGCAAGGCCATGTTGTTTGATGAGATTGCGAAAACGAGCTAATTCGATTACTGATACATTACGATTGATTAGTCGTAATGAATCTTGTTGTAGCGATGCCAATATATGCTGTGTATCTCCTCTTGTTATATATTCACTGAAATAGATCAACGTCTGTCCATCAACGTCCGATAAAAGCTGAGCCAGTTCTAACAGATTATTATCCTTTAACCAATCGCCAACTTGTGCCGTTGTCCAGTTTTGAACATTTTCTGGACGTAGTTCCGCTCCCGATAATGGTTGTAGACGTGGTACAGAAGGAGGAAGTGCCAATAAAGCACTTTGATTTGATTGAACTTCTATGTTATGCAAGTCTTGCATATGTAAGGCTTTGATTTCCTTGATCAACATTTCTATTGCTATTGGAAATTCATGTTTTGTGAAATCAACATAGAGTGATTGACCAATTAAAAACAAAAGCCAACCATCAGGTTTGTAATGTTCTTGTAGAAGCACTGGTACTATTTTGAGTCGACGTTGAAATGCATATTCAGCTTCGGCTCGACAATAATTGCTTCGTCGATATTGTTCACTCATACAAATAATAATCGTTCGAGATTGTTCGATTGCCTGTACCATGGCATCCATGACGTTGCCATGTATCTGATCGAAATCAATCCATACTCGATAACCAGTTCGAATAAGTTGTTCATACAAATGTTTACATATTTGTTTGTCTTTATGTGAATAACTAATCATTATATCAAATGTTGTACTATCACATTTTTCTGTAAATATCTGTTTATCTCGATCTGAATTCAAATTCCAAAGAATTCCACGTGCAGCTTTATGTATAGTTTCATTTGAACAGTTCTTTTCGATTTCAGTCAATTTAGTCATGAATGAATGATTCAATCGAAGTTGTTCTTGAATAGATGAATTAAAGGAAAGACCCCAGAGAATATCGTATACGATCGGATATTTGTCCAATATTTCGATTAGCAGTGGCATTTTATTTAATGCTGCTGTATTTGCTTGAACAGTATCATTTTTTGATAGATTAGCAAAGCCTAGATAATACAAATATATAAAAATTCTACCAAATATATTCAAGAGATTCCTATAGTTTGATAAAAGAAATCGAATGGTGTTTTTAGTGAACAAATGCTAACAAGACCTGTACGTTTTTTCATCTTTTTCTAGTTTTTTATTCAATTTCAGACGAATATATAATAAAGATACTCGTAATTGAAAGATAAGCTAACCTCGAAGTATATGCACTAGTGGTATATGTTGATATTTCTGCGATGGATCCTTCCAAGCTTGTTCAATAATATCAAAACACGAACGTCTTATATTTCTGACAATTTTTAATTCTTTCAATTGTTCATCCGTTAGAATTTCAGCAAGTAAACCATGTGCACATAGAACTATTCGATCATATGGTGCTGTTTGAACTAATGATGTAAGTGTATCAGGTAAAGATGTTGTCAAACGAATAAAACAACTTAATTTTTCTGCATCTATTGCACCTCTTAAGAATGTTATGATAGAATCGATAAGAATTGTTTCCACATTAGGCCATTGACCATCAATACATTTATGAAATGGTTTATAACTGATAATACGAATCAATGCTGAAACATGATCATACAATGTCAAATCGGTAGATACAATCTTTTTGATATGATGTGCCTCCTCACGACCCCACCAACAGCATGCACAAATGAGACCGATTAGTGAAGAAATACAGCCGAGTAATTCTCGACTCCATGATTTTACTGTATAGCTATGTACAAGAATGATTTGTGCATAGTCATCAGCAATATGTTCAATAATTTGTTCAGCTGTATAGAGAAAGTCTTGTGGTGTCAGAGAAAAATAAGCTGCTAACGAGAATGAACATGTTTTGATATAGAAGAGCTGTTTGATAGTAAATATGGATTGTAAAGGATGTGCTTCTCGGAGTTGTTGCAAATAGAATTTATACTGATCAGACATAAGTATGTCATGAGCTATTCGCTGATTAATATGAGCAACTAGAGATGAGCAGACGAACTGAGAGTAATCGTGTAAGAAATGTGAGAGAATATCGAACCAAAGACTAGCTACTGTCAGAAATGTATCATCACTTCTGTCGATTTGACTAAGAATACCATCGATCCAATCGGTAGAATGAGGAATAAGAAGTGTTGCTTTAGTTTCGGCTTTGATATTGTCATCATTAATAATCATTTTTGTATTAAACGATGCGAGAGCATGAAAAAAATCGGCATAGTTTGCATCATTAGTCCACTCTTGATAATCATTGCTAAGTGTTCGCCATGCCCAATGTTCGATAGTCAATAAGGATTGAAACGACTGA